GTTGCAGTTGAGTTCAATATTTGAGGGCAAATGTAGCGTAGTTGACTTCTCTTCAATTGTTGCAGACCGGTTCAGGTTTGGCAATGGTTACTCTCCGGTTCAAAGGGACGAAAGAGAGAACCGGTGCTAAAGTGAATAGTAGGGTGTAAGGGCATGTACTCTTCCTCCAACTAACATGGCACCCGTGGGGAGGTCTGGAAGATCAATTTCCTTTTTGAAGGGACCCCCTGTGAGTTGCCATGCTAATGGGAGGGAGGGTAATTGTCATTTTTAACATCCTTTTGGGTCTTCAATGACAGGGAACCAGGGCCTGGTTGCAACGGCATGTTGCCCAGCGTTGAGAGTTCACCTGGGTGAACTTCGGGCACACACGCCATTTTCTGCAGGCATCGGAGGCTTCCTGAAACTGGCGCATGGAAATATCTTGAGAAGTGGATATGTACGGGAATGTGAAGGCATCCCGTAAAATTGTCAGGGCCCAACGAGCAACGAGGAACCCCCTCCCACAATAAATAGATGAAAACACAAGTACAAATCAAAACACCCAAAAGAAGCCCGCTTAGTCGTAGCCCCTAATAGGCCTCAGTCACAAATTGGCCCCCTGCTTTTGGGTGGCCCTGACAACCATAAGAAGTCAAGCAAGGCACTTGCACTTCATGGAAAGTACAGTCGAAGTTCTCCGCCCCGGTCAGCATGTACGAGTCCCGTGTGCTTTCGATCCTTGCGTTGACTCAGTTGTTCGAAGCCGACCCTTTGACCCTTTTTTGGGCTTAGGCCATTGTTGTATCTGGGAGGGGGCTCACAGAACCGACATTTCGACCAAAAAAAGGCCAACCGGCAGACCAATTGCTTATTTTCGAAGCTCTCAACTATCAACCCTCACCTAGGCCAACCTGTAGCGCGATGTCGGGGTATGACCGCTTCAATTTGCACGTAGATTAGCCCGATTGGTCAGGTCAGCAGTGAGCCCGGCAACATGTCCGGAAATGAGTCCGGCAACGAGTCCGGCAACATGTCCGGCAACCTGTCCGGCAACATGTCCGGCAACGAGTCCGGCAACTCCACTGGCAACTCCAGCGGCAACGAATCCACGGTGGAGCAGGCCACGGACAAACTTGACTAACTTCATTTGTGGTCCCACAAGGTGGCTGCATTCCGTGTTCTCCACAAAAACCCTCTGGGGTGGTTTCTTTCCGGGTAATTGTACCCCGTGTTTTGACCTTCTCAGAATTCCTTTCGGGGGTGGTCGTGGTTTCCCTTTAACTCCCCGCTTCTGGGGGGTAGCTTTGTCACTTTGGCGGGTCTTTTCCTGAGGACAGTCCAAAGGAATCCAAGCTGGTTGACTAGGTCGCCACTGTCGTAGAAGGTCCGGCGGGCCTCAAGTCCAAAGAACGCCCCTTTTTCGACCGGTTCCACCTTTGCCGGTTTCAAGTTTGAAGACTGTGGTCTCCTCCATATGCGCATATGGTGGTGCTTTTTGTGAGAGTGCCCCCTTTTTTGTGGGCTTTGCAGGACACCAAGAGGACAACCACCTTTTTTTCTGGGGTGTCCCCAAATATTTATGTGTTTGGTGTACTCCGCACTTGTCACTTGGTCCATTGGTGAGCCCGGAAGCTTAAGGCTTCAGATACTTCTGCGACTGAATAACAAGTGGACCTCACAAACACTCACTTGGAATCTGCACAAGGCGACGAGTTCTGGGGAGCACCCTCAAGAATGGGGCAGGCACAAATCAGTAAAAGGTGTTCACCAAAAGAGTCCAATTGAAATTCACTATGGGTATAATGCTGGCTTCACATCCCTACTAGTTAAAGGGACCCACTCAAATAGATCATTTCCCAGAATGGGACCACCCCTGATTAGTACGGTCCTCCGGATTCATCCGAGGCTAAGATTATGCAGTGCCTAAACAGGGGGACCCCAAAATGCTGGTTTTCCTTTGGTTTTCCTTTGAAACCACCGCAAACCGGGAATTCCGGGTATGGGCGCACAGATGTCCATCGTGGAGAAGCACGGGCAGCTGCAGGTCGTGGGTAACAAGGTGGTAGACAAGCAGCTTTGGCAAAATTTCCGCTTTTGGGCTGCGTGCTAAATGGATTTGTCTTGACCCCCCCAAAATGGCTTCAGTTTTCCTGTTGGTGTGCCTTTAAACCAAACACAAACAGGGTACCCGCAAAAAGGCGCACGCACAAATAGACCACAAAGCTTGCTTTCCCAAAAGGAAAGTCAAACGGGGATGGGTGGTTTTGTTTGTCGTTCCAGACCTACTTAGTAAGGGAGCCCGGGATCCCAAAGTATTTCCCCTTTGGGTGGATTGAAACATCACCCTGTGGACTTATATGTGAGATTCCCGAGGTTGTGTTTTCCTTTTTTTACATAATAATAATAATAATAATAATAATAATAATAATAATAATAATAATAATAATAGTAATATAAAATAAAATAACACATAAAAATAACATATGTTGGGAATCCTGAGGGACCCCATGGATTGCTGCCTGCTTGGGTTGGGGGGGTATCCCATCTAATGAGTTGGAATCCTTTGCTTGGTTGGATCCACCAAATTTATTCGTCCGTGCACACTGGGCGCATGTCAACTTCGGATTAAGCCAGGGGGGCGTACTCTCCTCAGCCCGCTTGGAGGGGGAGTGTGAGCGATTTCTTTGCTTCATGATCCGGATAAATCCAAAGTTTGCACATGAGCCAAAACGAACAGCCAGGTAATCGAAGGTTAGAAGCGGCTACCGAACTGCAGTCGGGGCTATCCAAATGAACTGGTATGACATGCTGTACTTTGTTTTTGTGTTGGCTCCTTTTGAGAGAAACATAGCACTCGGAGGGATGATAGGATTTTGGACACAGTTGGCCCCAGCCGGCCAACAGGCAGTTTCCCATTTTTTCTTGACCAATGTCGGTGACCCTCCAATTCTCAACATGGGGCCACTAAGGGAATCAAGGAGCACAGTAACTTCAAGTTGGGTTTATCTTAAATCGGAATCGGACCCCATAAAAATGGTTGGCTTCCTTTTTGGCAAAACCCAACCCAAAGGGATACTGCACAAACCAACAAAAATCGCCAGCCTCAATGAAGGGATTCACGAGTAAGAGACCTTCAGCATGGTGAAGTAAGCTGGGTATTGGGATGTCCGACAGGCGCTTTGGAAGTTCAAACGAGTCTTGTGATTGTGGCTCTGCCGTTTGGAAAGTCGTACAGTGGCCTGCATGTTCCTTTTACACTCAGTTCTCTCGGTTGATTTGGATAGTTTGAGGGCTGATGTCACGTACTGCCTAAGAAGGCTGTAGCCGTGTATGGATGTGCTATTTTGTGAGGGCACAGATCTCAGTCATTCACACCGTGTTTTCTTCGTTATCATGAGTTAGAACACTCCCTTTCTGCTTCCACCTAGGGGATTCCAAAATTCGGTGGAGTAGATGTTGCAGCCCAGCAATACGCCCATTTATCAATAGACCTGCAACCACAACTAGAAGCTGAAGGATTAATATTTGATGTTGATTGGGTGCATGCGCTTGGCATTAAAACGGGCCCTTAAGTTCAGGGGGTTCATCAATCAGGAGTCGACATTCAGTGTTGAAAGTTAGGAGTCAGACAAAGCCAACCACTTTTTTTTCCCGGAGGTTCACACAAGTTGGGTGCTTCGGCCGCTCCAGTTCCTTCATGTTGGGTAAATGCCCTTGAACCATCGTGTATTGGGGTGTCTTCAGATATGGACCCCGAAAGGAGCTGGGGGCCTTCCATTGACTTTTAGTTGCCTACCTTCTGGGCCATCTGAACATGGTCCAGAAGGCACGAAATGATGATTTTCTGAGCGGGGACAGAAAAACACAGCAGCGGTGTCCCGGTAGATCAGATTGCTCGAAAGACGGGCTCTGCTGGTGTTAGTTTGGATCATTTGACCAGGTCAACGCGCAAGTAGAAACTTTCGACAGCCTTATTGAGGATGCCTAGAAAATGACCCTGGCCCACATGTTGGGATCCTATGAAGGAGCGGACAGAAGGAGTTGGGACTGTCACAATTTGAGTTTTTTTAGTTGTCGATTGGTTCAAAGAATGTCATGATTGTTAGAGAATGTCATGATTGTTTTTTGGTGAGCTCATTCGGGGATCCGGTGTTTTCTTTTTTACCGGGCTCTTTTTTTTAAAGCTAGGGCTGGTCCCCTGGTTGCTTGGGTGCTTGGTTGCTTGGTTGCTTGGTTGGTTGGTTGGTTGGTTTGCTTGGTTTGCTTGGTTGCTTGGTTGCTTGGTCGCTTGGTTGGTTTGTTTGGTTTGGTTGGTTGGTTGCTTGGTTGGTTTGGTTGGTTTGTTTGGTTTGGTTTAGTTTGGTTTGGTGGTTGGTTGATTGGTTGGTTGGTTGGCTGGCTGGCTGGCTGGCTGGATGGCTTGCTTGCTTGCTTGCTTGCTTGCTTGCTTGCTTGGTTTGGTTTGGTTTGGTTTGGTTTGGTTTGGTTCGGTGGTTCGTTGGTTGGTTGGTTGGTTGGTTGGCTGGCTGGCTGGCTGGCTTGCTTGCTTGTTTGGTTTGTTTGCTTTGGTTTGGTGGTTCGTTGGTTCGTTGGTTCGTTGGTTCGTTGGTTCGTTGGTTCGTTGGTTCGTTGGTTCGTTGGTTCGTTTGTTGGTTGGTTGGTTGGTTGGTTGGTTGGTTGGTTCGTTCGTTCGTTGGTTGGTTGGTTGGTTTGGTTTGGTTTGGTTTGATTTGGTTGGTTGGTTGGTTGTTTGGTTGTTTGGTTTGTTTGGTTGGTTGGTTGGTTTGGTTTGGTTTGGTTGGTTGGTTGGTTGTTTGGTTGTTTGGTTTGTTTGGTTGGTTGGTTGGTTGGTTTGCTTGCTTGCTTGTTTGGTTTGGTTTGGCTTGGCTTGGTTTTGTTGGTTGGTTGGTTGGTTGGTTGGTTGGTTGGTTGGTTGGTTACTTAGATTGGGGCGCGGGGGTATAAAATGAGGTGTCAAGTGATGCCCGAGGAACGGGGAGCCTGTGCAGCTCTCGGGCATGTCCCTCTTCTGGTCCCAATGGCAGCCGCAATTCTGGACCAAAGGCGGGGCTCCGATCCGAAGGCGGTGCGGTTGGGAGGATGGACTCGGGAGAATTTGGAGCGGTTTACCCGGCCCTCCCACGTTTTCATGGCGCCTGACAGGGGCGTTTTACTCTCCGCCCCTTCGCATTTTGCGGTATTTTTAGGCTAAAGATTTCAACGCCCCGAGCGAACACGCGGGTTGCCGATTCTGCGAGGCCTGGCTGCGAACCCAACTGGCCCTAAGTGGCTGGTGGACACCCAAAATCATGTCCACCAAGGGCCCCGGTTCATAAATGTTTGCTCTTCCAACAAAACATCGGGGGCTTTTCAGCAACAGTCCCAACCTGTCATCATAGTTAACACAAAGGGAAAAGATCTTACCAACAGTTTCCCCCCACAACAATGTGACGAAATGTGGTTTCAAAGTACCCCCACTCTCCCATTCTTCTTGTCTAGCCGAACCTGCATCACGAAACAGAAACAAGTGGGTCTCTTTTTGACTTGCTCCCCCTTTCTGTGTGCGGCTTTTAGAGGAAAGCCGCAAGGAAAAGCCGCCTTTTTGCCCGGGTTCTCGGCAGAAACCGTGGCGTGGCTGAAGCAGACCTGGGGCATCACGCTGCTGCGCTGCCCCATGGCGGTGGAGGTGCGTTTCTGCGGCGAGACGACGGAGTTGTTCGGTTTGGAAGGATCAGGTAATGGGCGGTTTGGGGGATTTGTCACCCCTGGCTTTTGTAGAGGGTACATTTTCCATGGTAGATGGCCTCCCAGGTAACCCTCAGTTGGCGGCTTGCATCGGCGGTTTGGAATTGTTCACCCCTTCTGGAGAGAGTAGATGGCCTGCCCAACCACCAAACCACTAATCCAAACCACCAATTAGAGGGAAGCTGGAATGACGTACTTGGGTGCTCGACCACGTGAGTAGGTGGTCAGAACCTGGGTTATAACCGACTTGGTCGTACCTCAGGGGGCCAACCACTTACTCGGCAGAACATCCAAGTCGGAGGCGCCGTCGTGAGACAGTAGCACCGTTTGCCCAAATTGGGGGATCCAAACACGGTTTGTAGGTTTTAAGGAAGCAACCATGGGCCTTCGATTTACCATAGGGTGTGTAGCTTATTTGAAAAGGACGTGTTTTCGTGAGACACGGGTGGTAAATGGAGAAAAGTTCAGACTTTTGTGGCCAATCCACTCAGGCAGTGAGAATTGGGGGATCCAGAATCTTGTGGGTTTACAATTGTGTGCGTACCCGTTTCACTCCTTGGTCTAGAGGGAAACTACAAGCATCCGAAAGCATTGTGTTGGGGGTCTTCGCATCTTGCCAGGGTAGTTGTCAACGACTTTTTACAGCAGGTACATGTACAGAAGCTAACGTGCTTTGATGCAACACTTGGAATGTCTAAGAAGAATTGGATCAATTTCATGAAACACTTGCGAAATCAAAACTATAAAACATCAGGAGCAAAAATAGATGACTGCCAACCGGGCCAATATACAGCTCCAACATGTAATGAATTTTGAGTTTGATTAAAGCATCAATACTCAACAGTCAGGGCTAATTACAGCACCGCACACTGCTACAGCACCATACCATAACCGCAATTCAGGTTTTACAACTAAACCTGTAAGTCTTGAACTCCAAGCTATGTGGAGCTGATTGCGTTCGGGTCGACATATGGTCGTGATTGCTAAGGTCTGAGCCAGGGCTGGGGGGAGGGACCCCCCGAGACGAGCCGGGAAGCTCCATTCGACGGATTTCACAAGAGAAGTGACAGGGCATTGGAGTGGGCTCAGCAAATTTTTCAGCCCGAGTTTGTCAGCAAAAGCGGCAGCTGGTCGGGGGTCGTAGCATTTGCGACAGGGTTCTAGTTTTGAGAATGCCAATTCCAAACAGAAACAGCTAAGAGAGCTTCTGCTCAAAACACATGATCCTGATTTTGTAGGAACTGCACAGTTCATGGCACCTGAGTTGAGAGATATACCAAAAGAACATAGTACAACTATGGATGTTTTAAGTTCCGCCCATGTAACAGGTTGATGTTTGATGGAATATGTTGTCACCAAAAAGGTAACAACATTGGTATGAGAGTCCTTTTGTTTGGTGGTGCCCCCTTGTTGGTGTTGCGTTTTTCGGCGATGCCAAGGAGAGAGAGAAGCCTTTTGGGCCTATGAGATACGCCCATGCTGTCGGGGTCTTTTGCCAGGCAGGAGGCTACCTCACTCCCGGCAACAAGCAGGCGGAGCTTAAGAAGCTCGAGGCGCGTTTTTTTTTGGACCGTAAGAGGTTCTTTCTGCAGGTGATGCGTGACGGATACCCTCTTTTTCGTCTGCAGAGTCGTCCTTTTCGTTTTTTCGGAGGAAGATACGCTCCCACCAATTCACATGGAACTGTTCGACGTTTCGGGAGGTCCTGGTTTGGACCGTTTTCCTTTTGAAGGGACCGGGTCCCGAACGTCAAGTTTCATGCTAATTGGTGGGAGGGTACCCTCTTTCCAACAATCATGGAAGTGGACGTTTTCGGGGGTTAAACAAAAGGAAAGTCGTCTTCGAAAACCCTATCGTCAGTTTCCTTGATTGTTGGAGGGATGGTGAATCTGGTCTACCACAGTCAAGGGATAATTCTTGTCTTTGCCATACTTCTCAGGTTTGATTCCCCGTTCTCTTCATCCATTCTCTTTAGAGAGTGCCCATTTTTTTCAGGGGGTTTGGACTATTTGAAGAGAAGTTCCTGAATGGAGCGGGGGAAATCTAGAACAGTCACCGAAACACCCTCTATGGGAGGTCCCTCCCCCCCTGCCCCACTCGATGTTCGAAAGAACCATTCGATCAGAACCCCACTTCGCTCATCCGAGGTTCCCCTTCCAAGGGCAAGTGAAGAACTGGCTGGGAGGAATTGTCAGATTTTGCATACAATGACTATGCACCACGGCAATGAGGGGCTGCTTTGGATGCTTTTCAGGGAAAGCACACGGAAATGATCTGGTTTTCGGGCCCCTGTTTTAGGACAAATCCACACCAGAAGATCGCGGCAACTGTTGTTTGTTACTTTCTCTTGCGAGTGAAAGGACAAGCATCGTTCTCTGGGTGTTTGGTTCCTGAAAAGAAGGATCCCTGGAAAGAATGGAAATGGAAGGTACCCCTAGAGTTGTGTTCTCAGGTCAGAAACGGGTCATAATTTCCGTTGAGGGATGGAGATAGGAATTTGTACTGATGGAATCAGGCATTCGTTCCGTTCGCTAGCGCTCCATCAAGCACACCATGCCTTTGGCCCAGACAGGAAAAGAAATGCTTTGAACCCAACCCAATGTGTATTTTTTATTTTTGCAATGTATAAATACGTATTTCCAACCATCCCTGACAAAGCAACGGGCGATGTATCGCTCTTGAAGTCTTTCCAGCCAATGATCCAGTGCTCAAAGTCGTGCTCGTATCTATGGGACCATCCGCAGGCATCTCTCATATCGCTCCTTTTAGTCGGCACTCAGTTTGAGCTCAGCGCCATGAAACAGATTGTAAGAACATCTTCGTTTGAGCTCAGCGCCATGAAAGATGTGCTCTTCTTTGCCCAAGTGCGGGCGAAGAGCATCGCGCATTCACATATTTGGCTCTGAATCTTACCGGAGCATCTGGTTTGAGCTCAGCGCCATGCAAGATGTGCTCTTCTTCGCCCAAGTGCGCGCGAAGAGCATCGTGCATTCACTTATTTGGCTCTGAATCTTCTGGTTTGAGCTCAGCGCCACATCTTCGCCCAGTGTCCAAGCGAAGAGCATCGTGCATTCACATATTTGGCTCTGAATTTGAATTGGGGAGCACTCGGTTTGAGCTCAGCGCCATGAACAGCCACATCATCTTCGCCCAGTGTCCGAGCGAAGAGCATCGTGCATTCACATAGTTGGCTCTGAATTTGAATTGGGGAGCACTCGGTTTGAGCTCAGCGCCATGAACAGACACATCATGTTCGCCCAGTGTCCGAGCGAAGAGCATCGTGTATTCACTTTTTTGGCTCTGAACTTTAATGGAGAGCACCCATGTTAAGCTCAGCGCCATGAAAAAGCACATCATCGCCCAAAGGCCGAGCGAACAGCATCGTTTCACATATTTGGCTCAGTTGTTTGATGGGGAACCCCTAACGGTTCGTCACAAATCTTCGTTCTGATGGTGTCCACCCAAGGGTCAATCATTTCAATCGCCCATTTCGTACCGATGTCGACTTTCCTCTGCTGCGTGCCCGCAACTGGACCGGGAAGAGTTGGGCACGAAGGCTTCAAATCTTTATGGCCACGTATTTGCTTGGATCTTGAAAATTCAACCTTTTTCGGAAAGGATGGATTTTTTATTGGGCCCACAAAAGGCTAAAGTGTTTGCGGAGGTGGTTTTGAGCGAGTTGCGGGAACTGGTGCAAGCAGGGTACCGGCTCCACAGGAAACCGTGTTCACTACATCTGGAGTAACCCGTAACCTGAAACCTAAGCCGGACCTCATGTGCGCCGCAGTCAACACATCGTTTTACTTGAGATTGCTATGTCTGGTCAGCATGATATGAGTTTCTCTCAAGCAAAGTCACTCTGGACTCTCCTCAACTGTTTTTTGTGTTTGGGTAGATATCTCCACCCCTCAACATGAAATTGGAGGAGGGGGTGACCCCTGGAATTCGAGTTTGTGCTTCCATGGCCCCTTTTTCAGGGCTCCTCAAAAGATACATTTTGCCCATTTGAAACATGGCTTTTCCACCAAAATAAAGGAAACCCACCATTTACAAGGCAATGTTCAGGTGTATACTGTATAATGTAAGGATCCCTGTTTTTTGGGGAAGACTAGATCGATGGAATTGGGCGCTTTCCCCCCTCCCCCCTCCTCCCCCCCTTAGGTAGCGGGGATGGATAGACTAAACCTCCTGAGGTAGCGGGGATGGGTAGACTAAATATACGAAGCAGCATTCGATCCTTTTTCGTTTGTGCGTACTCGTTGGGCCAAGCTTTCTTTTGTCCATTTTGCTTGGATGTTAGGACTTTAACTTTTTGCCAACTGATGTGTTTTCCATTAAACCACCAAAAGTTAAACTTTTAGCAGAGGAGCAGAAAGCAACCGAGTTTTGAACTTATTTTTTTTTTTTTACGTACTGAGTTTTTACACGTCTTCTTCTCTCCAGACGGTGGTGGATGCTGCGCTGGAGCTTGGCATCTACGTGGTGATTGACTGGCACGACCATAACGCGGACCAGCACCAGAAGGAGGGGCTGGGAAGTTGAAATGAGGTCCCCTCCACACACCCCGTCCATGTGAAATTGCACCCCCCCGTCCACCCCCTCTCGAAGGGTGGGGCTATATTCAGGGGGAGGATTCGTCATTTAGAAGGCCTTTGAAGGCCTTTCATTGTTCTCACAGAAGTAGGGGATGTCCACAATCACGGAGGGCACGGTGGGGCAAACCTTATTTAGACAACCCCCGGGACCAAAAAAGGGGGCCGACTGCCAAGCCAATCAATCCATTATCCACTCCTATCAAATGGGCTCCTCAAAGTGAACAAATCTTAAGGCCTTCTCGTTTGTTTGGTTGGCGGTTTCTATAAACCACCATCTGCACCATGTTTGCCATCAGGAGGCGGCCGGCTTCTTCAAGAAGATGGCCAAGAAGCCCTCCGCCTGGGGCCGGTGGGTTGGGCTCCTTTTCCGGCCGAGGGAGCGGAAGGTATAGGGCTAGGCTCGCATAGTGGGGTTGAGTGATACATGGGATGACTCGTTGGTTGCAAAGAAAAACTAGAAGATTTGATGCTTTTCACAAACCTGGTCAACACTGTTGAAGGGAATATCGATCAACCGCCGTGCGTATGGGAGCTAAGGTTCCCGGTTCCCTGAAGTCAAGCTGGTTTTTGACTGCCAGAAACCAAAAGGCCCCGAGGAAGTTCGCGTAAAGTGTTGGGTGAGTCTTTCGGAATTAAAGTATCACCTGCCAGACCAAAATGCCTTCCGATCGATGAGCCGGCCAGTCGGGGTTCGGAATCAGTGAACTGTGGCAACAGAGCAAGTGGTCAGATTCAAGAGGTGTTTTAGCTACAACCGGTCGAACATGGATGGAGGTTTGACTTGGGTTCACTTTCCAGTCAAATCATTCCGACTGGTCTTGCCAACCGGAGAAATCTTTGGTTGAATGGACATCTCGAGTTTTCGGGCCGCTGGTGAAACACCGCTGTTGCATTGTTTGTGAGGTGGCGAGGCAATCCTTGAAGTGACATTCCTTAGTCATAGGGATGGGAAGCAACCACCAAACCGTCTCGCAGAACTGGGCTTCCATGTTCAACCAGAGGGGATGTGCACGGCCCCGATGCTCCAGCTTGCAATGGGCCAGCTAGCCAGCGATATGGGATCGCGCTTCGTTGAGTGTTGGTTCATATAAGGGGAAGCCAAGCGACGCACATGGTTGTCCTATTTTGACGCATACTCGCCGAGGTATGGGAGCTACCCCAACGTCATCTTTGAGGTGTTTAACGAGCCGATCAAGCAGAGTTGGGAGGAGGTCATCAAGCCTTACCACGAGATGATCGTGGAAGCGGTTCGGCTGAGGTTCCGTTTCTGTTTCTCGGATCTCTCTTGAAACTAACTATTTACATGAGGTTTGCTACTATGGGTGACTCTTTTGTTGAGAGTACCCCCTTTGGGATGGGCTTACAGGGACTAGAAACAAACATACCAAAAAATGAGAGAGAGAGAAAGCATACTTGTGGCTGCACGTGGGAGTACTCCATCCTTTGCGTGTCTTGGGGCACAGGTTCTCTAGATCCTTGCTGAAGGGAAGACGGGTCGCTGATGCTTTGGATTTGAATTCAGAAGAAGCCGATTTCGGATTCTGCTCTGCATGTTGTGCGTGATTAGTTTCTGGTGCCCCGAAATGCAACTGCCCATTGTTCCCTTGATGTACTTGTTTCTGCTCTGCGTGTTGTGCGTGATTAGTTTCTGGTGCCCCGAAATGCAACTGCCCATTGTCCCCTTGATGTACTTCGCTCCAGGTTCAGCGACACCTGAGACACACTCACTAATGGGTTTGTCTCAAGAATCCTCCAACCCCAAAAACCAAGAAACAAACAAACAAACAAACACAAAACGACATGGCTGGCTTGCTTTTGGCTCCCCTTTAAAGCAAGACCCGCAAGGGCGTCAAGAACAACTCACCCAAACAGAGAACAACTGCTGACGGGAGCTGTGCTGGCGATTTCCATCAGAGCTTTGCTTGGGGTAGGCGCGGTCGTCTCCCCTGGGCAGTTCTAGACCATGGCCATGACCACGAGTTTTGCGTTCTTCGCGCAAGCGAAAAGCCATTGAACGCCTGATCAGTGCCTTATACGGCCGCGATCGTTGTCTGGGGTCTCCGATCCGAAGCCAGGTTCTTTTGTGGATAGGCAAAGCAGCGAACAAACATGTGAAGCAGAATCTTAGATGTTCCGTGCACATCCTTCAAAACCGGAGGGCCCCAAAGTGATTTTCAGGATGTCGTCACCCTAGGGCCTCGCTGGGCTACCTGTCATTTCAGCCATTTGATGGGCAAAGCCAGCCACCTGCTTGATGTTCAACCATCTTTTGCGCAACATCGCCCCCATACGACTAGAAGGTGTACGCCCTTTCTCCCCACCTGGTGGATGGATTGAAGCAGACTCATCATGTTTGCCTCCTTAGTGTTTAGACCAATTTTGGCCCGGCAAGATGACCCCAAGAATCGGAGGCCACTTTCAGGTTGCTGAAAAGGGGCCCTGGTGTTTGGAATAGAACACGACCCCACAGTCGAGTTCTTGTTTGTTTTTTGTCGGATCGGACCTGGCGGCAAGTGGACACAGTTCGAAATTTGAGGCCTCATTTGGTGTAAATTCGATGAGAATGCTGCGCCCTGGGCCCTGACTAATGCTTAAACCTCCACTTTCTTTCAGGGGGATAGCTAGGCCCTTAAGAAAAAACGGGTTTGTTTATCAGGGGTCAACATTCACTTTGTATACATACTGTATGTTACACAGTTTTTTTTGAGGGTACCTTTGAGATACACGGGAATCCCAAGTGTGAAGGGTAGGTTGCTTTTTCGGGGGTAGTTTGTGAGTGTATTTCCGAAAGGATATGTACCTCGTCTCCTCCCTGGTTGGAGGTGTACGTAGGATAGTCGCAAAAACAAATTCCCACAAGAAAGGGTTCGTTCAACCGATGGTTTCCACGACTTTCAAGCAACTCCAAAGCAGGTTTCTTAGGAGGGCCCTGGAACAAGGGATCTGGTCATGTCTTACAAGTTGGATCCTCTCAATTTCGCTTGGACATAAATCTCCGAATCTGATGTCCATTTCGGGTTCTCCATTCACGAATCATTAGAACAACTTCTCTACCCCCGGAAAATATGCACATCCACGGCTTCCATCCACGGCTTTTCCACGTGTCCAAGGTGATCCGGGAGCACTCCACCAATCTCATCGTCCTGGGCACCCGGATTTGGTCCCAAGACGTGGATGTGGCCGCAGCGGACCCGGCGCCACGGCCGAAGAGTTGGATGGGGATGTGGTGGTTTGTTTTCACCCCCCAAGAAGAGACATGGTTTTCTATGTGGGTGTATATGTTGTTTTGTTTGTTGTGTGTGTGTGTGTGTGTGTGTTTGGTTTGGTAGCCTTTTCTTGAGTTTCCCCCAAGAACAGAAAGGGTCATATCGTCATATGTCGTGTTTGGTTGGCTTTTTGGGGGTTGGTTGCCAGGAAAGCCAAATGAAAACCCTTCATTTTATGTCCCGGTCCCACCATCTTGACGTATGTGTGTGAGGCTGGGCGGGGGGCCTCTCAAAATGGTGGATCCCTTTTTGGGCTTAAAGGGGAAGTCACAAGGAAACATAGAATTTATGTCAGAGACAAAGTAACCGTATATGAAACAAAGCAACACATATCGTGTTTGTTTGGAATCGGACAACCAACATGGGCGGGGTTTCCTTTTGGTTTCCCTTTACCACCAAAAAGGGGGTGGCCTCAAAAAGAGGGATGAGCCACCCATATGTTTTTGGTGGAGCACATTTAGGACACTTCCAAGGTCCCAAATATGTACCCCTGGGTAGGTGCCCCTGCAAAATACCACCGAAGCTTAAATACACTATGATCACACACATGTTTTTGTTTTTGTTTTGCCCTCTTTTCCAGTTGGATGCCACGGGTACCTGGGGGCACGTGGTTTGGCCCCCAGAAAAATGGCAGTGGCAACTGTGTAATTTTCTTTTTCGCAACTGAAATTGGTGAACAGAAAACATCCAATATCCTGGATCCACAAGGCTTCCTTTAAATGAATGTTGCCCCAAACATAGGTGTCCGTGTTAGGTCAGTTTGCTGAGAATTCGATGGGTTCCACTGGATGGGTTTTTATAAGCCATTTACCAGGGGCCGTCTATTTTTTCAAAAGGTCACCTATGGCCCAACAAATATGACCTCTTGTAGGGGTAGTTTGAGGGTGACATATTTTGGTTTTAGTTGCCTTCCGGCAGGAAGCTTAGAGCTTCCAGCCAAGTCCTCGTGGTTTCATTGTTCCTCCCCAGATTCTGGTGCTGGCAGTCGTGTCCTGTGATCCAGACTATCAAAAAGAAAACGCGTCTGACCATTCAGGATGTTCGACGCAACGCACTTTGCTCATATTTGTTTAGGCTTTTTGTCCAAGCCGAAGTCAACGGGTTCTTCGTAGCCAGGATGTTCGAAACAAAGACAAGCTCAGATTGGTTTTTGAGGTAAACCTAAAGGAAAGACACCAGTTCGGGTCATTTCGGGTCGGAGTTTTTCTTGAGCTCCGAACCGAACAAAACCGGCTGCTAAGCAAAGCAACCAGAAAGGTGGCCGGTGAGAACTTGGCGTACACCATCCACTTCTACGCCAATACCCACAAACAGGACGGGCTGGCCGATGGGCGAAAACGGCTCAAAAGTTCGCTTGCGAGTTGGAACATGATGTGAACTTCGCAATCTCTAGAGGTCCAAACTGAGCAATTTTCCTACAAGTACTGTTTATCCTGTCTAAGTAGGGAACCACCGCTGACTTGTATAGTCGTGCAGATTAATCCAAACTTCACATGACTGGGTTTGGTGCTTTATTGTGTTTGGAGGGCGGGGGGAGGGGGGGGTGGGGTGGGGGGGACTTGTTTTTCTAATCAGGCATCTGACCTGGAGTGGACATGTACCTCCATAAAGATGTGCAAGACAGTTTGATGGGCTGCTGCCATTCGCTAAGGCTAGCCTTTAGTGTTGAATCTTGATTCATTGATGCTGAGGCGTTGGGTGCAGGCTTGGGTGCCCGAACCCAAACGATGTTCTACATGTTGGAACCATTTTCGTGGGACAAAGCCCTATGTTTGATTGGTTGAGAGACCCTCTTTCTCACCCAGCGAGACTCGAGAGGCTTTCCCTTCCAGAAGCAAAACAACAAGCCAAAGGCGAACAGTTGTCACGGATGTTTTTGAGTCCTTCGGAAAACCGCTGCCTTGTTTTTTGAAGGTAGTTGACTTGGTTTCTGGTGCTCGGCTTGGAGCCGCTAAGCTTGCGGTTCCCTTTGTTTCATAGACCTGAAGCCTTCAGTGGGTCAAAAGGCTTCAAGACAACTCCCATGCTCAAGGGGAGACTCTAGGTAGATGTCCCAAGGTCTAAGTTCAGGGTTTGATTCCCCACTCATTTCTTCTTTTGACCGATTCCTTTCTTCCCTTCAGAATGGGGGGGGCAGTTGCCCTCAGATTGCACCCACCCTCACTTATCTTGCTGAAACCAACAACACTGAGGTAACCCCCAGTTGGTGTTTTGGGAGACTTGAACCCCTGGTTCCTGTAAAGGGTACATGGCAAACCACCCCGGAACACCAAACCGTGCTCCAAACCACCAACGGGAAGTTGAGGAACGAGTTCCCTTTTCGCCAGGAGTTGCGGGACAAGGCGCGTCATGAGACCTGAATCTTCAACCGCTGGCATGTTCCTGAGATGGGACCATTTCCCGCAGCATGATGCAGCATGGGCCAACATTTGATGTAGCATCACCCGTTGAAATTGTTTGCTCATCTTTCTTCTTTTTTTTTGGGGGGGGATATCCTGTGGTCTCTTCGAGACCAACCTGTTTGAACATGCCCAAGGCTTCGGCAGCATTCAGTATGTTTGCCTTTGAGAACAGATTTCAAGCCTTCGGGCAGGTCAAGTCAACCCGTTGGTCCATTTTGTCTGTTTCGATCGTGTGATGCTCTTGGGGAAAAATAAAAATAAAACTCTGTTGTTCACCATAAATGTGCAGAGATGAATCATAGGTGCCCATTTGATCAGTTATTTTGCTTAGAAATAGATGGGTTCCACTGGTTTAGATAGGGTTGATGCCCCATTAAGCGCATGCACCATCTGAGCAGGTCTTTTTTTCAGTGAGATGGTGACCGCCCGAAAGAAAGCTTCTCTGTGCTGAGGTATACAAGGACAAACAGGGGTGCGTGGGGTGAAAGTGCAAACTCAGTAATTAGTTAACTCACAAGTCACTCAGTCCTTGTGCACTGGTCAGTTGATCAAGTGGTACTCAGTTAGTTCTGGGGTCTCCACAATTATGTCATCGACTGTGTAAATACTGTGGATTGACGAAATCCTGCACCGCCTAAGAAACCCTGGAATGATGATTTCCCTGCAAATAGCAACAAACAATGGTTTCCCATGGTTTCAAAGTGGTGTGAAATGGATTTCGTCCATCCACAGCATGAAGCAGAAACCGAAAAAATGTTTATTCTGCGTACCCCAGATTTGAGCTTCAGGGAGTTTCTGTGCTGCTTCTCGGCTCTGCGCCTCTCCTTCAAGAAAGTCACTGCACACCTCACCTCCCCCCGAATCATCAGGGGGGCCAATCTTAGAAACCGGGGTAGATGAAGGTTATTTGGTGGCTTCGCCGGCTTTTTGCTTCTGGAAGTTGTTCTAGGGTTTCCCCATTTTAACACCGACCGGTTTTGACTACTCAGTTTGGTTCCCTTGGGGGTGATAGTTAAGGGGGACAGGATCGGATCGCCGAAATGTCAATCCGCAGTTTCAGAAGAAGCAAACACAAAGCAACGCTTTCAATCAAACAAACAAACAAACAAGCAAACAAACAAACAAACAAACAAGAAGCTCACCCAACAATCCAAAAGCACCTTGCGGCGCGTCGGATTTCACGGCGACGTTTCCGCGAGGTGTCGAAGGCCCTGGAGTTGGGCGCCGCGGTGTTTGCCACGGAGTGGGGCACCTGCGACGCCTCGGGGGACGGCACGGTGAACCTGGCCGAGGCCGAAAGGGGAAACCGAAACGAGGGGCCGGTGAGGGGGGGGAGGGGGTCGGAGGGTCTTTTGGTGGCTGTCTAATGGTTTGTTTCTTTTGATTGTTGGACCTGCTGGTTTTCTGATTTTGGTCGCAGTGGCCCCGGAAGGTGATCACCTTCTATTTGGGTCCTTTGGATGGGATTGGAGGCTTGAAGCTCTGGATGGGAAACTTGCGGAACACCACCAAAAGCTGATTGGAAAGGAGGCACTTTTCCTTCCCTTCTCACCCCCGGCGCCTGGAATCGGAAACCACTCTGTGGGAAACCAGTAGGAAACCCACGAAACAGGAGACCAAACTCATTCTGGGGCTCTCCTCTGGTTGGAGATGCATAAGCCTTTGAAGGGGACAAAGGGGGAGACCAGGGGGATCTGTTAGGGGGGGTGAGTGATTTGTACGTAGTATTCCTGGTTGTTGATCCTTTCATAGATTTCCCCTCGGCTGCTACCCCCCCAGCGCCTGTGCCAAATCAGCACGTGAGCCCTTCCTCAGCGTGCAATCAATGCAAAGTCCGCTAAAAGAAGGGAACCGTCTGACCAAGTTTTGGGAGACATTCCTGCAAAGCAAGCACCCATGCCATGTTCCCTTTGGTGCCGCTTAGAAGATGAAAAGGGTACCCTCCAAAGAACGCGAAAACGTGGGGGACTTGACTGCTATTGGGTTGGATCTTTCGACTCTAGACTTTAACTTTTTGTGCCAATCAAGTTGGGTTTCCCACACCCCCAAAAGTGGTCAACTTGTTGCAGGGTCGTTGCCTAGTCAAAATGTCGCCACTTCACTCGCGACCCCCGCCCCCCCCCGCCACCCCTGCCCCAACCCCCCCCCCCCTGCCCAGCGGATCGGAGGCCCAGGCGTGGCTGGACTTCTTCGCCGAGCACCACATCTCCCATGCCAACTGGGCGGTCAGCGACAAGCAGGCGACGCGCAAAAAGAAACCTCTGGCCATGGGGATCTTGGCGATCCCATCGGGATGAACATCCATTTGCCGTCTAAACCATGCGGGTGTGGGTCAACACCGTTTTGGGATCCCATTTTGGGGGATTGGTGAATTCACCACCCATGTTAGTCTATAGTGGGAATTGGGATGTTCACTGGGGGTACGGGCTTTTGACCCATGGCCATTTGACTGTTTCGGTAGGGGCCCATGTTGACCCCAGATTCATAATGTCCTCCAAACTTCGGGGGGGCGGGGTGTTGCCTCCAAACGTGGTCTGAATCCACGCTGAAAGGGAACACCCCAATCTTCCTTCAAGCTACCACTTGCTGACCAGGGAGACACTGATTTCCACCAGCTGGTGGAATGGTTGCAATGAAGGTGCATATGTTAGATGAATTGTGCCTTGCTTGGATGTTCAACCCACTTAGCGAGTAGGTTGCAACCGTGGCTACAACTGGAGTATATGTCTCTGGTCCTTGTTGGGTGTGCAAACATCGTATGCGGGGCAATGTTGATTGGGGTCCCTAGCAGTGGTCCTTGGTTGATGTGTGAGTGTTGTTTTGGATGATACTTGTTGTTGGTTGGTTAAAGGAGCATCAAAAGGCAATCCACAACTTCGATCCATTTTGAAGGTCACCCTATTTTCACACATGCTAGTGGTATTGTAATCATCGCCAGAAGGCATTTGGCCGTTGACGACATCTGGTGCTTTGGGGGGAAGGATCGAGGCTTTTGAATCCAGTTTCTTGGGGTTCACCATGGTTGTCGTTGGGAAACATTTTTTCCCCATTTTTGCTTAGTGAGGTTTAGTGGTTGAAATCCAACCACTGAACTGCTATTTTAGTTTTAACTTACTTTTTTTGCTCCTCTTGCACCGTCAACCAAGTCACAGGGAGCAAGTTTTGTTTTATAGGGGATTCTCTCATAGAGCTTTGTAATTGCCTCATTTTTCCGACTCCTTGTCCTCTTTTGGAGGATGGAGCACTTGGGGTTGGAAAAAATGGATGGTCGCCCTGGCCGCAATTTTCAACGTAGCCGCCGCCGATACCCAAAGTCTCGGGTTCCAGTTCTCAAGACCGCGGCGCAATTTTTCACCTTGCTATCCCTTGATCATGACTCAGCCCGGTGTTGTGCCTTTTCGAGGGCACGTTTTCTCGGTTTTGACTCGTCTCTTCAACATGTTCACGTTCACCATGGAGCATTTGGCGGTCGATCGCCGTCAATAGGAGCTGGTTCAACCTAGTTTGACAGGACTCTCCTGACAGTCCCGGGGTAAAGTGCATTTGTCCCATACGGAATTTTGAGACAAAGATGCCCGGTACATTTGCAGTCGCTCGCATTCTTTTTCGGGGGAGCAAATGAGCAAGCTACAGTCGTTTTCCCATTTACCTTTTGGAGCAAACGAGAAGGGAGGTTCAAGCCGGGTCAAGTCATCCAAATCTTCGTACACGCTTGGAGGGCAGGAGGCTTGACATTCTTGTGTGCGGTCAACAGATCTACGGGTGGCAAAAGCTGGCCACGAACCATTTAGGGAATTTAGACCACCCCATGTTTCGTGCAGGAGGCATGCTCGGCTTTGCTGCCAGGCGGGGAGGGGGCGACTCGAGGATAGGATTTCTCGGTGTCCATGTGCAGTCTGACTGAACTATCCCTAGGGCTCAACCCGAATTAGAATGGCGAGGAGCCAATTTTGATGATGACAATCCACGGCAAACAATGGATGCAAGATGTAGCATGTGCGGATGTTTTTGGGAAAATTGGCGGTTGTTATATATATATATATATGTGCAGTGTATTGACCCCAGTTGTGAACTGGCTGGAAACATAGGCTCCAGACGACTGAGTCTCCGGACTGTCTTGGACTTGCGGTCGAGGGATTTTGCGAGGCAAGGGGTGGCACGGTCGGGGCATCTTGTCAATGGATTCGGGCCTAAATCCTGTGTGTCGACCCCAAAGAAGGCCTGTTTCTACAAGGGTCACTGAGCTAGTGGATATTATTGATTTGAACTTCAATGGTCTTGTTTCGCCGTGACTTCTCGGATGAACCCGCTTCTCAGTGCACGGTGCCTTAGTGCTGACCAAGGCCGGGCATTGTCTTGCCTCAACTGAGTGCCCTTGTCCAGTTGCTTTGAGTATCCGGGCCTCTTTTGTAAACCCTCCTTGGGAAAGTGTGGGTCGGCTCTTTTCAAGAAGGCTTAGATTAAGCATGTGCAGTGCAGTTGTTTCGTTTTCGGGTTTTGAAGTAATTAGTGAAGTCTTGGTTTAGACGGCTTACTGCAGCCTTATAAATTGGCGGCTTAGCATTGTCTGGGACAATTCCGCCGGGGATTCCATTGTGTTAGCCTCTTTTTGGAATTGCTATTTTTGACTATCTGGGCCTCGGCTGTACTAGTAGACTGGGGGCACTGACTTGTTTGTGCGTTTTGGATTTTCGAAGTACTTAGTGGAGTATTGGTAAAGTATTACCTGTGCCGCCTTAGTACTTGGGGCATTTCTGCCGGGGATGTGTTTGCCTCAATTGAGTATCGTTCGGTTGTGTTTTAAGCATATGGGCCTCGGCTGTACTCCCCCCTTTGGAGAATTGTTGGTGGGCGTTGTTGAAGAAGGCTTAGGATAAAGCAGCTGTGTTTGCAGGGCGCGGACTTGTTTCTGTGTTTGTGGGTTTTGAAGCAGTAGAAGACTAACAATGATTCACGAGTTGGGTTTGAAGGAAACACTCAAAATTTCTGAGACTGGCGGCGGGGCGAAGGGCATGGTTGGTGAAGATTTGTTTCTTTTTCTCTTTTTTTTTGGGGGGGGGTCGTTTGTGTCTGGGGCTACCCCCTGTCTTTTCCTGACTGAATAATTTGTGGAACAACTTTCTTGAATTTGCTACTGCTTTTCTTTGACTCATCGGCTGACAAAATCCCCTTGCCATTGCGTGCAGCCTCGCTAACGGGCCACTTCCAAGTTGTGAGCATAAACTCATCGGGAGGGATTTCTCGAAATTGGAATGCAACTTTTCCGGGGTGGGCTGGGGCTGACATTTCCGACACCGCCAACTTGTCTCGGCACACTGCACGGAATGCGCGTCTTTGAATATCATGGGGGCCGTCCCCCCCAACCTTCGAGGCCTCAAACATGAGTGAGGTGGTGGTGATGCTGGCAATGTTGGTGATGCTGGTCATGTATGCATGTGATGCAGGATGGTGATGCTTGCAGTGCAGGTGGTGATGTTGGTGATGTTGTTGTGGAGGCATCCAAGTTGGCTGCAAGTGTTCGATGCTCAAAGGATAGAGTGAAAAGATTGGAACTTCCTGCCATGATCCAGGTTTGTTGTTGAAGTTCTTTGAGCAGGGATCAATCTTCCGCACAGCCCTTGGCAGAACGTTAGAGACATCCTGCAAAGTGGTTGCGACGTGGGGAGGCTTCGCTCGAGTTTGACCCTTGTCAGGGGTGCTCAGGGAAGGGACAACAGCACTTAGATTATACGTGGTTAGTATATAATCCGAGTTGTAGCCCTTTACCATGGTTGTAAGTCCTCTGTCACCAGGAAACCAACCATGTTGCCATCCGTTTTAGCTTCCACGGGATTTCCACGGGATTTCCTCAGACTCAGAACCAGCAAGTTGAGATGCAGGTGCCAGCGGCGAGGGAGGTTGGGAGGACTGTGAGCTCTCGGAGTCTGGGCACTTTGTGAGGCGAACGGGTGCTCGTCAGCAAAAAATGCTGTGGTGGTGTTGATGTTTGCTTTCCTGTTCGTTTATGTCCTTTTCCTTCTTGTTGTTTCCTGTTTTGTTCACCATGTTCGTTTTCTTATCTCGCGTGTCTTGTCTTTTGGTTGTTATCATTCGTGTTGTCCTTTTGGTTTCCTTATCCTGTTGATTGTTCTTTGCCCACCCTTGTTACTTTCGGTTTCACTTGGTTTTCCTCGGGCCGATTTTTGTTCGCGGGACATATGGGGGTTGATCAATATTCCTGGCCCCCAAATGATCGTGAGAAACTTTTCCCGTTTGGGGGACATATGGCTGTGGGTCAAAACCAATGGTACCATTTTGGGGTAGGTGCACCACCCATTGTAGTCTATTTTAGTGGGATTGGGATGTTCACGGTACGGGGTTTTGATCC